AGCCACAAGCAGAGGGAAACTCCTTTAAACCAGGAGTAACTCCAAAAGCCTACAGTAAAAATCATACTTAAACAGAAATTCTAAAAATGTAAGCTGTCCATAGACTGTCATGGTTGTGATCTCCCAGCCAAGCTGGTAAACCCTATTAAATTTATACAAATTTATTTGTTTTGTCTTTTTTGTTTGTTTGTTTGAGACAGGGTCTCACTATATAATTCAGGTTGCTCCTGAAATCACTGTGTAGCCCAGGCGGGCCTTGGACTTACAGCGAGTTCTCCTGCCTCTGCCTCCCAGCGCTGGGATCACAAGCGTGTGTCACCATGCCCACTTTGTATGAAGTTATGCAAATTTAAAGAGAGATAACTTCTGTGTTAACTCTGGAGGATATAAGTGTCACCTAAATAATCCAAGAGCAACTAAATAATTTAACAGACCAAATAACAGCAGAGTAGTCCATGGCATACTTGTGTTGCTGTGACTACCATTCACAACATGATTTAATTTTTTTTTTAAATTTTATTTATTTATTTTACATTTATTTATTGTATGTGTGGCCAGCTCAGCCCACCAGGGGGCGGGGCTGGCTGGCATGTGGTGCTGGGGGATCGAACTGCGGTCCATGTGCTTTGCTAAGCTTGTTCTAAGTAGGTGCTTTAGACCACTGAGCCATCTCACCAGCCCCACATGATTTAATTTTAATATCACACTTCTAAGAGCAACAGCAACTAGTAGGAGAAAATTGCAAATCCTCATTCATCCACAGACAGAAGCTTCAATAAGGAGTCTTCTGACAGCTAGAAAGGCACAGCGGTGCAACAGTGGCCACTGTCCAGAAAATAAATGTGAGGAGTTTTTTTGCTACCTCCGGCTGCCTTACGGGCAGCTCTGGTACAGCTTCTGGAGCTGAGAATCGAACCGCAGTCCTATGCGCCTGCCTGCGTTTACCCAAGCGGAGCTTTAAACAACTGAGACATCTGAGAAACTAAATTGTAAAGTAAATGCAATTCCAGTCAAACTTCCAGCAGGATTTTGAAGACTCGACAGATTCTGAAACTCATGCGGAAGGGCAAAGATGTAAGCACAGCCAACAAGCCTCGACGGAGTACCGAAGGCTCGTGCATTAGCCGTCAAGGCTTCTATAAAGCTGTAAGAGGGAAGGCTGAGACCAAGGAAAAGAACCAAGAGCACAGAGGGCCGCCTGCACACACACGCACGCACGCACGCACGGTGGCCTGGCGAGCCTGGTGCAAACCTGGGGGAAAGGGCACAAAGTATCTGTAACCTTTGCTGGAAAAATCAGGTGTCTTTGTGGAGGAAAAATGTAAATCCTCTCTCACAGCCACCACACATCTTAACAGTAGAAGGATTAAAGACTTTTTTCAAGCGAAACCTGCAAAGTCGTACAAGAAAATAGTCCCTGACCTTGAGCGAGGTAGCAAGGACATCTATGATAGAAAGGCACAGGTGACAAAAGGAAAAAGACTGATTTGCTTGACTCTGCCAACAACACAAACATCTACAAAAGAGCTACAAAGTTCAGAGACCTGCCGGCCTAGGAGAGGTCTGTAATGCAAATAAGACAAAGGGTTAGTATGTGGAACATGTGCAGAGAAGCCCACAACTCACAGGAAAATGAAAAACAACCCAACAGAAGACGATTCCCAGGGCAAGACTGAGTACACTTAGGACAAGAATGCCCAGCTTCACGGGTGGGCGTGGAAATGCGAGTGAAATCGACGCCGTCTGACCTCCGTCTGACTGGCATAAACTTATAAAGTGGGCAGAGATGTCAGAGAACAGTTTCTTCACAACTGCTTTGGGGAGGAGCTGCCACGGACCTTTGGGAGAGCACAGTGACAATGGCGGAGGTGGGGACAAGCGTGCCAAAGAGTCTACGAGGCACCTGAGGCACCTGGCATCTGCTCTCCAGAGAAGGACGAAGGCAGAAGTGGCCAGTGACAAGACATTTCAAGGGCACCCCTGGCACAGGTCTCTTGACAAGACAGTTCAAGGGCACCCCCAGCACAGGTCTCTCATGACAGTGACAGGTTAGAAACTCCTTCAGCACAAATCAGTGGAAAGTAAATGATAGAATAGTTACTTTTTGAGTACCAAGCATCTGCTACAATGAATCTTGATCTATATGTATCAACACAGGTAAATATTAAATATGGAGTATTAGGTAAAAGGTGGCATTTGTATAACTTTTCAAAGCACAAAGTCCTTATTGTGTATGGTTACAGCATAGGAGGACACAGGAGATACTTTAAAATGTGGTTGGAAGCATGCAGGTGTCGCCTTCAGGACAAGTGGCTACTGGGTGAGGCACGGGAGGGACGTGGCGTTAGAAATATACTTCCTACACACAGCCCACACGTTAAAGGTGGAGACTGAACACACATTAAAAACACTGACTTCCTCTGTACTAGGAAATGTTCTAGGGACCGCAAAACACGCTGTTTTTATCCCCTGGAAATTTACGTTCCACTGAGGCACTAGACCCTGTCCAGAGACGCAGAGAGCACGCTCGGCAGGGAAGACAGGACGCTGGCTCTGGCAGCGTTCCGGGGCTGTCTGCAGGTACCCACCCACCAGAGATGCTGCCTGAGCAGCGGGCTTGGGGTTCAGGGCAGAGGTTCAGCTGGGGTGCACCCTGTGTGCTGGTGCACCCTCAAGATGTGCAGGCTGGGGAGTGGGCGTAGGGGGAGGGGAGAGGACTGAGGATCAAAGGCCACAATCTGCAAGGGAGCGCCTGGGAGAGGAAGGTGCCTGCTCTGTGTGCCAAAGGGGGACCCCAAACCTGCTGTGGCCAGGGTGGAGCTTGACCCCCTAAAGTGGGGGAGTGGGATTTGGAGGGGGCCTGTGGGAGGCGCTCAGCATTAGGTGAGGGCACGCATGGTATCCTGAGGAGGGGACGAGCGCTGAGCTGGCACCGTGCTCCATCTCCCCATGGAACACCCTGTGCCGCCTTAGGCGCCGGAGAGCCCTGGCCCCCAGCAGGTGCGGCCCTGACCCTGATGTCCCAGCCTGCAGGGCCAGAAGATGTAAATGTCTTTAATAAATTACCCATTTATGAAGTTAAGACAAAGAGAGAACCATGGTGGCAGCCTTGCCAACAGGTGGAAGAGCATAGACCTTCAGTGCCATGCGGCCTGCCGGGGACCCAGACAAGATGGGCTTGGCAGAAGGGGTTCCAGAAAGAGCAGGAGGGAGGGTGGGAGGCTGCGGCACTGTCCCCTGGCGAGGAGTCTGGTCCTAACGGTGGGTGGGGAAATGGGACACCATGGGAGCAGTGCAGGGTCAAGGGGCACTTTCTGCTGCCCTTGAGAAGGTAGCCCGGGTTGGGCCTGGGGCTGGGCAGAAGGGGTCTCCAGGCCGGTGAGCAGTGCTATAGGTACAGACGCATGGGGCGGGCCCTGGGGCAGGCAGCAGACTGTGACAGTGGGGGGTTGTAAAACCAAAAAAGCAACTTTTTAAATTAAAAACCCACCCTCAGCTTCTAGGCTCTGCAAGGCTGGGCTGGGCCTGGTTTGGCCCACCAGCCTGCTGCCAACTTCTGGGGCAGTGAAGTGGCTGAGGTGGCACTGTGACTTCTAGGCAGCACAGAGCGCCCACATGATGTCACAGGGTGGGAACTGCAGGCCAGTGGCCTGTGGGGTGTCCTCTGCCACAGGCAGTGCGTCTCATGGGTGTGGGGCAGGCAGGCAGGTTCCCCAGGATCACAGCCCTGTTGGGTGGGACAGGCAGCAGAGGGGGGCGGGCACAATGCCTAGCTGTGGGGGGACAGGACTATGAGAAGTGAAAGAGAGAAGCTGGGAGGTGTGGGGGTCTTGGAGATTGAGAACCTGCGGGACTTGGGGCTCTAGAGATTGTCAGCTGTCAGCTGGAAGGACAGCAGGAGGCAGCTGTGGGAGGGAGGTGGCAGAAAGACGGCAGTAACTGCCATCTAGCGTGGTGAAGGGGTGGCACGCTGATTACATGGGGACGGGAAGCCCCACCTGGTGCATAAATCACACCGACAGCCCTGGAACCCTCCCACTCATGCTCAGAGGTGGAGGTGGCCTGTGTCCCAAATTGTCCATGCAGACTGTGCTGCTGTGTCACCAGTCCATCTCCCAGCTGTCAGCACTGCTGCTGGCCCCAAGAGGACACTCAAGTACGTTTACTGAACTCATCAGTAAGCCACTCAGTGAGAGCTGGCACCCTGGCCGGTTCTATACAGCATGTGCCTTTACCCTGGTACTGCTCAAAGGTAACTGGCAAACGTGCGACACTGAGTGACACGACAGGTTAACCACAGGAGGGCTTCCGGGTATCACAGAAGGAGGGAACCCAAGGCAAGTAACAGTCTGGGAAGGAAGTGGAGGCTGAGCAGAGACAGGGTCTACCTGGCTGAATGACCCAGCAAGGAATCTGCCCCCATCCTTTCTGTAACTTTCACAGGTGCTGAGTGGCTCCAGGGAAATCTGAGACACAGTCCAGTATCTAATATCCACATTTACCTGAAATAAATACACAGGACCATCCACCTTGCTAGGGCCTGTGTTCTACAGCTCCGAGTGGGACTATAGGCAGTTTGGTTAGCTCTTTGCAAAGCTCAGAGTGAGTGTGGTCTTTGACATCCGCTCCCCTTTCTTGTCAGTTCCCTCCAGCGTCCTCCCGACTTGAGCCCTGGCTTTGCCTCTGGCTTTGCCGCCTGTCTCCATGAAAGAAAATACTGATTTCAAGAGTGATAGCTAAGCAGGTTAGAAGTTACAACTCAACTACAAAAGATTAAGGTTTAAAATACTCAAGCCTGGGGCCAGGGAGATAGCTTAGTAGAATAGCACTTGCGTGGCAAGCGCAAGGGCCTGAGTTCAATCCCTGGTTCTGCAAAAACCCAAAAAACAAAACTCAAGCCTGAGGTTCGCTGTTTCTCGGAAAGAGAAACACCAGTCCTGCCTCTGCCCTGCTGTTTTATCCGTCACCGGGTGCCTCCCTGCCTCCTCCCAATCCTTCACCTGGACTTGGGTCCACAGGAGCGTCCGGGATCTTGGGAGCAGCGCGACGCCAGGTGCAAGGCTCCTTCCCTTGCTCGATCTGAGAAAGGACCTCAGGCTTGGAGATGGCGTAATCTACGGACAGATAGTAAGGTTGGTTTTGCCATCGTCCTGTTACGGCTGGGGGAGGGCAGCTGAAGAACCAAGAATGGTCTAGGAGCTAAATGTCACAAGGGGCATGGGGCTCACAGTGGTAGGCAGTTTTGTTGCAGCCTGCAGGTAACCTTGTGCAGTACCAGGGGTGGCATTGCAGGCATTTGGCGGGCAGAGGCCAGGACTGCGGCTGGGCTTCAGTTATCTGGTCCAGGGTGCAGGTAGGTTAGGTGCAGAGCCTGCACATTAAGCGGCAGCAAGCCTGCCAACTAGAGCACACATGTGCCTTACTGCTCTTGGCTCTGGGGTCCCATCGCAGCCATCCCGAGAGGAAAGAAGCCAGGGAGAAGCAGACTGCATGTCCTTCCTGGGCAGCCAGGCTCTAAGGCATGGCACACAAAGGCCATATGGTCCACAAGAGAAGGTACAGGAAGTCCATTTCCCATGGTAGGCTGGCTGCAAACTGGACTCAAGAGCATAAGGACTCCTGTGCTCCAAGTTCCAGCAGGAACAGGGCATCCTTACCCTGGGCATGGTCAGGGGAGGGGCCACCAGCCTCCTAAACTGCCACACCACTAGATCAAGGGGGAGGTGTATTGAACTCCATCACTCAGGACCACCTGCAGGAGGAGCAGGAGGAGGAAGAGGAGGAGGAGGAGGAGGACAGATCCCCTTACTCAGAGCCTCTGGGGCTTTACAAATGGCTGGGACAGACACCTGGGATGGAGGGAGAGGCCCTGGGACTTGCGGAGTCTTCCTCCAAGGAGCAGCATGGGTCAGGCCTTACCCAGGGAGACCAGCGTCTCGTAGTTGCCCCGCATCACGTGCTTGTACAGCTCCTTCTGCCAGTCCTCCAGCTTGCCCCACTCCTGCTCGGAAAAATACACGGCCACATCATCAAAGGTCACGGGCACCTGGAACCACAAGGGTCACACTCGCTCACCCGTATGCTGGCCACAGGGCCCTTGGGCTCTCCAACCCAGGGCACCCAAAGGCTACCTTAGGGGCCTCGCCCTTGCTGCCTGGGGGCAGCCGCAGGATCCAGAAGTTGCGGTTGCGCAGCAGGTTCTCCACGTTCTCCAGCCGCCGCTGCAGCAGCCCGTACTCCTGCAGCAGCGTGCCCAGCACGGCCCACTTGCCCTCCAGCTGGTTGCCGAGCTCCACGGCCGTCTTCTCACAGTCAGCCAGCTTTTTCTCGGCCATACCAGTCCGACCTTCCAGGGAAAGCAAGCGAGCTGCCTGCGATTCAATCTTCCTCTCCATGGCTTGAATTGTAGCTGCCATTGTCCATGGAGAGATCTTTGCAAAAGAGAAGAGGGAAGCCAGCATCACTCACCACATTGCTTGTGCTCTGGCAGTTTATCTCACCTGGACACTCGGAGCCCGCATCTTCAGGAAGTGGGGATACTCCACCTCACGGGCCAGCTCTCGAGGTGGCCACCACCTTCTTGGGTATCTGGGATTGGGCCTGTGTCTGTGCAGCCTCCTCCTCTCTGGGTGCTTTGGCGCCCATACGGCCATTTCCTGTGGGCCCTGCCGCAGCCAAGCCCTGCAGGCGGCCTTGCTCTTCTCATAGCACACACTTGACACATGGCAGGCGCTCTGTGCGATTTTGCAAAACAAACAGTGACTGAGCATTGCTGGGGTGTTTCAGCAGAGGTGCAGTAAACTGCAGATTTACTAGAGCCCAGCCTGGACTCGCTCCCGCCACAATCGCGCAGGAACTGTGTACTGATGATGACCTAGCAGAAAGCCCCGGTTGCTCCACACACAAACAAGGGTGTTGCTCAATTTCTTCTCTTTTGTTTCTTAAAAAGCATCTCATGTCTCCTTTTTTAAAAGCATCTCATGTCTCCAAATGTTGGATGGCCAATTTCAGGACAAACTGGTTTTGTCCCTCCCCACCTGCCCTTCTCTCACAAGCTAAAATGACCAGGCTGCAAATCTTCACTAAGCCAAGAGCTGAGCCCCCTGAGATTGAGTTGTTTCTCTCCCGGTTCCCACTCCTCTCCTCAGGTAAACACAGTGGATCTTAAGACACTTGTGAGGCTGCCCCTAGATCAGCGACACACCCTGCAGTCTAGCAAGGAAGACAGACACATGTGCGAAGTCATTCTTTAGTACACGTGGCAACGATGAAAAAGCTCAGCGCTTCCCTGTCATCAGAAAAGGCCACAAGAGGCTTGAGTGACTGCAGCTGGGGACTGTGACGAAAGCATATTTTGGGTGGGGAACTGGACTGCTTGTCCCACTCGTATCTGGGGTGGGCTCCCCAGCCACTGAAGAGGGGCTGTCCTGGGCACCTTCACCAGCCAGCAGCTGAACATGGAAGGCCCGCTGTTCAAGGAAAGCATTCCTGGGCCAAAGCTTGGCCACTACTTGCAAAATAAGGCGACTTCTAGGAACTGGCACCAGCTCCTTTGGAGTCACTGGGAATCAGAATGCGGAGCGACACCTCAAAATACAAAGGGAGGCGGGGAAACCTGCCAACTAGCACTGAAGAGGTTCTCTGCCTGCCTGACCATGGCAGGCCTCTGGCTGGGTCACTGATGGGGCTCTGAGTGCCAAGGGTAAGACGGGTGGGAGCAGGTATGAGACTGCTGGTGCTGGCGGGTGGGCTGGGCTCTGGCTTGGTGTCCTCCTAAGATAAGTCCTGCCATATTCGTTTACTCCAGCAACATCCTTGTACTGTACTGCCAGACCCCTCACCCCTAAAGTCCTATCACACCCCAAATGTGCAGCTATAATCCTGTGTTGCCTGAGGTTGGGACCAGCACAGACTCCTACTTTATGAAGAATTTATTACTCTTCAGTACATGAACAACAGTTTTCTTACCATTTCACAGAACCCCCAAGCTCTACCCCAGGCCTTCCAGCAGTGGGAGGCAGGCGGGGATGGTCCTCAGCTGAAGCCCTGCTCCTCAGCGACTGGAGGGCAGAAAGCCCCGTGTCTTAGAGCTCTTTGCTAGGCGGAGCAGCTTCTCTAAGAGGACGCCAAGTCCCTCAATTGCACCCCACCCACAAGAGGAAGTCCAGCCTTCCCAGCCCTTCCAACTGTCTCTCCCAGCATCACCGGCTTCATGGGTCTTTCTGTCTCTGGGTGCCCCTTCCCGAGGCTTCTCCCTCCGTGGAAAGCTCCACCGTCTAAGGAGCTCGGCCTGGTGAAACCCTAGCCTCCTACAGAAGCCCAGCTCAAATCACAGAAGCGCAGAATACCTGGCCAGGAAGGGTGAGCAGGGGCTGCACCGCCACAGCTCGCTGCCACCTGGCCACCTGGCCCCCGGTTCCCCTTTCCGTTCTGCACGGCTGCTACCGGTGAACCTGCCGCTTGCCCAACACCCCTAGTCCCTAACCACCGCGCCCCTCCTGCCCCCCCTTCTAGCTAAGCTGTCCGTCCGGGGTAAGTTAACTTCTCTGGCCCCAGGGCTTTTCTTTTGTAAGGCAGAGATAACAGCAGTACCCACCCCGCAGGTCTGCAGGGAGGACGAAATAATGGGGGCCGATGCAGCGCCTGGCTCGACACCCGCCAGCCGGGCACGTAGCGGGCGCGCAGCGTCTGCGGAATCGTCGCCGGACACCTCCCAGGTGCCACCAGGCCGCTGGGGGGAGCTGGGGGAGGGAAGCCAGGCCGAGCGCTGGGCAGAGAAAGGAGCCGGGCAGGGGGCGCGGGACCGCGGGGACAGGGCGCCGCGCCGCGCTGCGGGAACTTGGCGCGGGGCGGCCGTTCCGCCGG